CGCGAAGATCGGCAAACAGCAGCAGAGTAGTGTAGGTTGGATGAGTGCCAGTGATGAGTTGGAGAGTTGTCAGTTGTCAGTATCCGCGATTCCGCGTTAAATCCACAGGGAAATGACAATAATAAAGTCCAGGAAAACGACTGTTCAGTAAAGAAGGAGATGAGCCGGTAGACGCAAAGCAGCAAAACAAACAAACAAACAAACAAACAGAAAAGTTCCAGCAAGAAGCGGCAGCAAGGTGCGCACAGCGTACTCTCACCGGAAACGGAAATGATTTGGTTGGTTGTCATGATTGTAATCCTGAACGGGCCACCGGTCCACGGGTCTTTGCGTGATCACGGCAGGCTGGATCGGAATTTATAAGCAAGATCATGGGAATCAATAACCTACATCCCAGTTGTGCTAAAATAAATATCATGAGACATTATTCATCAGATGAATGACATGGAAAAGTTAAGTTGGAGCCAGTGCAACTACCAATGCGAACATGAACACAAGCTTTTCCCTCCAAAAATATAGCCTAAAAAACATCTAAGTTGTCACCCTGCCTCTCCAATTGCAACACTGATATTAACCAAATGCAATAAATGCTTAAAAAGTACTTTGGTGTGCGTTTTATTTTATATTTACCGTTTAATAATGCAATCGCTGCTGTCTGTCCATTGAAGATCATGACAGCCCGCGTCTGTTTTGGAACTATTGGGGCTTCCATGAACCACGTGACAGCCTTGCGGCGACATCAAAGCGTGTCGCAACTCTCTCAATACATGGCTCTGATTCCGGAGAAGAAACATACAATGTAAATTTGTTGTCTACCAAAACATTAGTAGAAAATGGAAGAGAAGCTAAAAATCGCCGTTGCTGGGTTTCCTACAGGTTTCCTATATGACATGACTTTGTTTGCTGAAATGCAGACAGAAAGTGTTTTCACATGCCTTTGGAAAGTCACAGATGTATATAGGCTACCGGTGACTTTTCTAAATAATTATGAAGGAATGTTTTAATTTTTTTTCATCAGTGACATCATTTTTTGCAGCTCTATTATGCTTTGTTGGAGACATATTAACTGTGTATTATTCTGTATCATGTAGTGCATGTATTAATGTATATATTTTCTTAATTGACTATATTGATATATTATTGATGATATGAAAAAAAAAAGTTGAGTTTGCAAATATAATTTGTTTAGTATTTGTTTTATTTTATGAGCCAGTTAAGATAAGGTAAAATAAAAATAGAAAATTGTGCTAATTCTAAAATAGGATAGAAATTGAAAAGAAATGTGGACTTGTTTAAAAGTTCAAGATGTTCAAAAGGAATAAATTAATAAGGAAACCATAAGCATGTAAAATACACACATACACATATATACATATATATATATATATATATATATATATATATATATATATATATATATGTATGTTGCTTAAATATTTTGGCATATATAAATTAAACATATCAGTGAAATATATGGTTATAACATACAAAAATACATAAAGACAAATCATTTATGTTGTATTAATATATGTCAATATACTCATTTACTATGGTCAATTTATATATGTTATAAACCTATATCAACATACTGTATATAATAATAGTTTTGTGCCTACGGCTTGGGCCCGTCATCGCTGCCCGCAGCTATATTTTATCCTTGCACTCAATGGACTGAAAACTAGTTAAAGTTATATTGTCCTAAAGTGTATTCTCACTGTGTACCGCCTATACTGCATCTGCAGGGGCTGCCATTGTTGTTTTTTATGGTTTTGCGGGTTATGTGACGTCAGAGCTCGTAACTGGGAGTACATCGATCTAGTACGAGTTCACAGGTGGGAAGTCACGGGTTTGACTGCCTTACAGTGCACTTTCACGCGTATAAGGTTGGAAAAACTCGGGTTACAGGTTGTCTGGAACGCGGCATAAGGCCCTGCCGAAGTATTTTTTTGCACACAGTGCAAGGCCAATCAATCACTCACTTAATGCTGCTTTACTGTGCGTTCAAACTGGACGCGAATAGCACGTCAAATTCGCGTCTACCGCGTCTAGTTTGACGCTTGACCACTTTGTGTTAATTCACGCGTCAGTTTCGTAACTGACGTGCATAAAAACAGAAGTTTGAAGCGAAATTTACGTGCGTCACGCGCGTCGGAATCAAAACCCTTTGGCGGCCATCTTTTTTATGTTGATCGAGCATTCATCGAAAGAGTCACCGCTCTGTATTTGCTCTGGAGAGCAGAACAGCGGCGTGGGGATCATCGCCGCCTGATTGGTTAACGCGGTGCGAATTGACTCCAAAGTTCAGATTTTTCAACTCGGTTGGCAGGCGTGAATTTGCGTCAAACGCGTGAATGCACAAATACCACTAACTAAATCATTTGCGCTTAACATGCCAGACGCTCAATTCGCGCGAACTTGATGCGCGAATGAGGCGTATTCGCGTCTACTGTCTATTCGCTCTATGCCTTATGGGCTATATGCACGCATAAGTTCCGCATTTGACGCAAGGATGCTCGTCCATTTCCGGTTGTAGAGATAAGCGGAGGAGAACCGAGGAAAACAGGGATTATGGCAGAGTCTTCAAAATTTACTGTCCTCCCGTCTTTGAAACGAAACGTACATACGTTTAGATGTAATTTTATATATAGTTATGTTTATTTAATATAATTTTAAAAAGAAGCATAAACACAACGAGGGGTGTCTGTTTTATCTGTTTTTGTGACTAACTTTCTTTATTATAACCATGGAGTATAAAATTCAATATAAATTCTCGGTATTGCATTGGACTCTACGATCGGCGGAAGTTATCGAGCATCCTTAATCCTTCACCGGAAATACCGCCGTGCATAGAGCCCATTGGCACCGCTGGAATTTTTTACGGGCGTAACCCGTCTTTGCATTGACATAACAGTGAAATCACTCGCGCCTGACGCGCTATTCGCATCCGGTGTGAATGCACCATTACACCAGATGTGAATAGTGCGTCAAATTCGCCCTGTGTAAAGTTTAGACTGGCTGCCTGCACATCACTGTACTCGCGGCTGCTGCAACTTGAGGGGGCTGGCTGCAGGACGACTCAACTTCCAACTTCCGACTCAACTTTTTAATGTTTTATATCAAGATTTTGCTATAGTACATTTTTCAGGACAATTAAGGCCTGTTTCGGGATTCGGGACAACAGCTTAGATTTCGGGACGTCCAAATTTTTCGGGATGTCTGGTTAACTCTTGCGGTTGACTGTGCTAACTCCTCTCCCTCCTCCTGCTGCTGCATATTCAACAGAGAGGAAGAAACGGAGCAGCCCATAGGCTACTGACAGCAAATAAATTTATTCTATAGGCTAGATTATTTCTAAGGTCTATTTTTACAGGCTGTATGCAGTATATACAAACCAAAAGCGCAATGAAATAAAGCAACTTATGATTTCGGGCGTTTACATTACATTGTTTACATTACATACTATTGTCCAGTTTCATATTTGCTCAGTGACAGTCATTACATTCAGGGCTTGACTCAAAACATTCGGGGCTGAAGCCCTTGGTATTACCTGTGGTAACAGTGAGACAGGTGGGAAGGCGTAAAGCTGGCGGCTGGGCCAGTCCTGGTTTAAAACCACAGTTAACGCTCTGGTTTATACAACTTTCACTTACGAGCAAAAATCTGCCTTTAAACTTGAAAGAAATAAAGATTTGACATTTATCGTGATAATTGTCGATATTGACTGATATAAAAAAATTATTGTGATAATTTCTTTTGGCCATATTGCCCAGCCCTGGTCTCCTGCGCTGAGCAGGGCTCTGCACGAGCCACAGGAAGTGCGAGGCATCTTTAAAAAGACTCGCTGCTCTTTTGGGAATGTCCGCGCTGTGAACATGCTCTTTTAAAAAGGATACGTCGCCGGATGTCGTAGCTCGCACAGATGGCTGAAGGTGGCGAAGACGGCTGGCTTCTTCAGGCACTGTCCTAAGCTCGCAAGGTGCCCCTCAGATGGCAACGTGGCTTCTTGTAGTCCAGCAATGCGAAGAGCTCACTGAAGAGATGAAAATCAGGGAAGCAGCATCTGAACCTCGCTTATATACACCAAAGCCACACGTATTCTGGGGTGCTCTGACGCCATGAGGGCGCGGGCGCCTCTCATTGGGCGTGACATCATGCCAGGTTTACTGATAGGCTCCTGCAGTTGCCGCAGAGCAGCCTATAAGCTCACTAGATAGCCTGCTCTAGGTTTGGCAGCTGCTGCACTGCATTCATGACAATGGATACAAAATTAAGGATAATTTTTTGGCTTCAGTATCTCAGAAAAGATTCATCTTTCATGTTGCGTAAGCTAGCTTACGCAATATGAGAGAACCTCTCGTAAGAGAACAGAAGGACAGTTCGAGGAAACATATTGGCATTTAATGCTTTTGCACATATATATATATATATATTTTCTTGATTAGATTTCAAAACAGATGTAAAAGTAGTTTAAGCAGGTTTCACCTATGGGAGTCTGTTGCAAATATGAAAAGGTTTTTTTTTTCCAAGTCTGCAATAGTGCAAAATAACCACACACACAAATCCAGTTTCACAATGAATCATGCTCAAACAAACTCTTGCAAAGAAGGAAGTGAAATTGTGAGGTAAAGTGCCTTTGTGTGCAGTGTGTTGCAATTAATATAATCTCCTCCAACTTCCCCTTGTTTTTTGGTGTTACAAATAGTTTAAATGTAAAAAAAGTTTCATTTTATTTATTTATTTATTTATTTATGTTTTTTTAATTTTAAAACTTAAAACTTAAATCTGAAAACAATCCACTTTTTTCCCCCAAGTCCCTAAGCCTCTAAACTTTCCAGACGAAAGTGGTCACAGTGGTTAGAGTACCTGCATATGCAAATGCTTGATACAGGAGCCAGTGTGCAGCTTTTTCCAGCTCCACCCACAGGACCTCCCCTGAAACCCGGTTGCCTGGCAACAGCCATAGAGCTTGAGAAGGGGAGAGTAGGAGTGTCTGGAAACACACAACTGCTGTCAGAGCTTCTGTGAGTGTGCAGAGGGAGGGTGTGTGGTCAAGCAAGCCTGAATTGTGTGGTGTTTTCACAAGTTTCAGAAACTATTCGATTCATTCAAGAAGTGAGCAGATGAAAACATCAGTCAGCATACGGATTCTCTCCCTCTTGTCCTTGGCAGTGGATTACAGATTTTGATACTAAAGTTTACCAGTGGATGAGGCCTCACCTGTTGGATTTGAGTTGGATGACAACAGTGGACTGTGAGGAGTGGAGACGATCATGGTTCCTCAACTGTGAGACAGGGTAAAATTAGCTCTTTTTATTGTATTTAGCACTTGTTAGCACCTCATTTTTTCCACACTAATATTATGGCTAGACTGTCTTTTGTTGGTCTCCAAACAGTTCTCTGTTGTCTTTCTCTCATTGTTGATAATGAGATTAATTGTTAATTGAGGGCAGCTGACAGCTTGTGTGTTCATAAACCTAAAAGTCATTTTTAGTAGGCTTGCAGATATAATTAATATGTAGGTTAAATTGTTTCACAGTTAGTTGTGACCTTGTCACTTCAAACGACACAAAACAAAGGAGGAAGAGCGTGTTTATTAGAAGAAACCATTAGCATATTCAATAATTTACGTATTCCATAAAACCTGGTAAAAGTTAGACCATTGTGAAGTTTTGTATACTATACTCATTGTAATTTCTCAATCTTGTCTATGGTTAAAAAAATCTTAATCATATAATTGACAGTAATCATGCTAATGGAACACATGGGTTGGAATGCACCTCATCATGTAGCTAGACATTAAATGTGTTCTGGGTTAATGCTTTAGTGTTGTATGATTCAAGTGTCATTGAATATGGGTGTCAGTTGCTTAACTGAAACCTACAAACATAGCATTTTTTTTTTTTTTAGAATTGTATTTGTCTGGTTTATTTAGTTGAAATAAGAGGATGTTTAAACCTGCAGACAGCTGTTAGGCAAATTTTTCGAGAAAGATCACCATTACACTGATTTTGGATAACAACTTTATCATACTGCATTTAAAAAAAAAAAAAAACGGTTGAAAAGGATTTTAAAAATAAACTGTTAATGGAAGTGTGTGTTAATGTGTTTCAGCTAGTGTTGCACCACTGCTGTTCCTATCTATCATCTTGCTGACATTTGTTATGTCACCTGTCTTTGCCCCCTGCACAGTCACTCTTTTTCTCTCTCTTTGCAATAAGTTTGTTTGAGTCTGCTAAATATAGACACGAGGACCAGTACAGTTGTATTTAATTGCTCACCTGTGTTTCACACTCTTAATGTATTATATAAAAATACTCACACACCAGCCTTCATAAAAACCTCTGTAAAGCTGTCAGAATTTTTTTTTTCTCCATTGACTGTTATTCATTTGTAAATATGATATTTAACACATACATTTATTTTATTTGTGTGACATTCTGAGAAGCTTACTTGAGAAATGTTAGCTTTTCTGGCTTATCTCTCACTCAAAACCCCTTGGCTTGAGTTACTGCTTTACCACAGTGTGGGTTCCGATGTACTTTACAAGCTGCACAGCAGAGTGATGTGGTCTGGTAATGCAATCTCTCTATAAACAAAGACACTATAGGCTATATATTTGTTGACTGGATATTGGTTAAAAAAAAAAAAAAAAACCCTGTACTGCAGCCAGGTGCAATCCATAAATATAGTGGTATAATATATAATATAGTGGTGTAACAATATTCAAACCATAGCATACCGAATGTGCCCTGCTGTAATTTTTTTAAATTATGTCAATTTTATCATGAAATTCAAACAAATGAAAATTATGTATGTATGTGTATATATATATATATATATATATATATATATATATATATATGTGTGTGTGTGTATATATATATATATATATATATATATATATATATGTTTGAATTTCATGATAAAAAAAATTACGTACTTTGAAACAGCGTATAAACAATAGCTATCCCACTTATCATTACATTAGGTACCCCAGGCAAGTCATTCAGTGGCCACGGCTTGTTAGTCGCTAGTCAGCTACAAAAATTAACTCTTTCGCTAAATATTAATTAATGTTAAAATTCATTCCCACCCCCCATACCCCTATTTCATTACACAGAAAGTAACAGTAGGTGTATGATTCATTATTCAGATGATTTTGTGAAGAAAACTGGTCTTGGCAGGGAGTGTTTGATGGCAATACCCTGGTTTGGGCATGTTGTGTATTTCTTTGGATTGCAAAAACTGCAGTGCATCTCAGTATAGTGACTCATTAGTTCCTGTGCATCAGCTCGGCCTTGACAGATCTTTTTGTTTTTTCTTGGGTGTATGTAGGAGGGAAAACTGACTCCTCAGACGAGTGAGAAATGTGAATCAGTGATGCATTACACTGACTGTATAATCATTATAAAATGGAAAATACACTTCTTTAGTTCAGAAACTGAGCTAGTTCCATATTTTTAGTTGGCTATATAAAATACCATGAGAAGAGCCATTTGGTCAAGATGCAGCAATATTATTAGACTCTATATTAAGGCATCTGCACACATAGACCTCAACTGGTGCTCAAGGACCTGTCCTTTTGGCCTCTGACTAGATAAGTGCTTACAGCTGACAAATTAGAACATTCTATAGAAATCCCTCAGCCATAGCAACCTCTCCTCCCATTATGTGCCAAAAACACCTGAGCCTGTTTTTGTCCTAATAGAACAATCATGTTTTGTACATGTATTTTTACTATTTAATAACTATTTTTTACTATTTATATATATTATTTCGGTTTGATGGAAAACATTCAGAGTTTCTGCTTCTAGAATCAATTTAGAATTTCAATTTTACTCTGGTGAATATTTGTCATAGTAGATTTATTTTCTAAATAGGAACATACCTTAATTCCTTGGCTACCAGAACCCTGCCATTAAACAACCCATTATAAAGCCTATTCATTTATTTCTATTTATACCAAAAAAATTATAAAAAAAATTGAATTAAAAAGTTTTGTAAGTTTAACTACTTCGTTCCTCAACTTCAACAGACAATTTTGATATTTGAGTTCAATCCAGGAAAGTTATTCTAAAACTAAATTAAGTTATGATTGCAACAGTATTTTTTACAGTGCATTTGTGTAATTAAACTTTTGACACAAAACCTCATAAGTTCTTGAGATATGGTGACCATGTAGACTAATGATCTTAGCCAAGTGTATGCATATGCTGTAGCACATTTGACTTGCTTTGATTCACAAATGTGCCTTTAGTGAGTAAAGCAGCCTGGTAAGCTGAGGATTGCTAAATTCTCTTGACAGTGAACAATTAAATAGAGCTTATTATTATAACTTGTTAATAAGATGGAAATGAGAACAGGGCCTTGGGGCTCTTTAGTTCAATGGCGAACATGAGACGTCACACTCCAAAAGGGGTCTAGGAGACCCTGTCCCTGATGTATGCCATTGATTCTGTAGTTGCCTTTAGTTGTACCCATTCTGTCCTGGGAAAGGATAATGTTTTATAATTTCTCCTTGGTTATATTGCTTGAGTTTATGTAATTACCTGACTAAACCAGTTTGTTGTTTTGGGATCAATGTTTCACAAAATGGATCGAGACTTCTCCAAGAATGTAAGAGGCAGGTGGAGAGGTTTGTCATATAAGCTTACTCTTCCTACTCGTATTTCATCCTAGTATTGTGTTTGAATCTGCACGTTACAAGTTTATTTTTCCTGTTCACTTCCGCTGGTTAAGTCATTTTATAAATAGGGCACCGCTTGCTTTCTGTCTAAAATAGCCCCTATACTTACTGTACATGTGCAGCAAGCCACATTTATTTTAGCTAACTGTACTAATGAGACAGCTGCCCACATGGGCCTTGAAACCCATTAAAGTATTATATTTTGGATGCTGGGTGATAAGTTTGTGTCTTCATAATGCATCTAAGTGGACTGTGGGAAACTTTTATTTATTTATAACCTGAAATAATCTTGCTTTGTCAAAAAATAAATAAAATTGTGATATTTCAAGGTATTATTGACTTTGAAAACAGGTCATGTCTGTTTTATGGTTTTACTTTCAGGAGCTTCATAAGCAGTGAAGCTGTTTTTTCCCCTAATAAATAATAATAAATTATTATGGCAAACAATATATATTATATTTTTTACTCTTTTCTTATGTTTTTTCTTTTATGAAGTTTTATTACCTAAGTTCGTGAGGAGCACATTCAGATAATTAACACGAGTGGACAGCACTCAGCAATCAATAATAAGAGGGTTCATACCGGTATAGATTCAGCAGTCTTACCTCGATCCATTGATAGTTTGCAGCATCCCCCCACCACCCCTTCTCCATACTCCTATATATATATATATATATATATATATATATTAGGGCTGTGCAAAAGTTAATTGCGATTAATCGCATCCAAAATAAAAGTCTGTGTTTACATATATATTTGTGTATGCTGTATATAATTATTTTGTATATATAAATACACACACATGCATGTATATGTTTAAGAAAATGTGTTATTCCTATATAAAATATTTATATTTATATAATATAGATTATGTATTTATATATATATATACAGAATTTAAGAGCAAATAATTCTTAAATATATGCATGCATGCATAGGTATTTATATATACAAAATAATTATATACAGCACACACAAATATATTATGTAAAACAGACTTTTATTTTGGATGCGATTAATCGCAATTAACTTTTGCACAGCCCTAATATATATATATATATATATATATATATATATATATATATATATATATGAAGAGTTCAGATGCAAAAGCCTCTAAATGCCATTTGAAATTTTCTTCTTTAATGATGATTTTTATCAAACTTGTAAATTTAAGTTCAGTAATTTCACTTAAATGGCAATGATAATTACCTATTAATTGTTATTTAAGTGAAATTACTGAACATAAATATACAAGTTTGATAAAAATCATCATTAAAGAAGAAAATTTCAAATGGCATTTAGAGGCTTTTGCATCTGAACTCTTCATATATATATATGAAGAGTTCAGATGCAAAAGCCTCTAAGTGCCATTTGAAATTTTCTTCTAGAATGATAATTTTTATCAAGCTTGTATATTTAAGTTCAGTGATTTCACTTAAATGGCAATGATAATTACCTATTAATCTTTATTTAAGTGAAATTACTGAACTTAAATATACAAGTTTGATAAAAATCATAATTAAAGAAGAAAATTTCAAATGGCATTTAGAGGCTTTTGCATCTGAACTCTTCATATACAGTGGGTACGGAAAGTATTCAGACTCCCTTAAATTGTTCACTCTTTGTTATATTGCAGCCATTTGCTAAAATCATTTAAGTTCATTTTTTCCCCTCATTATTGTTCACACACCACCCCATATTGACAGAAAAACACAGAACTGTTGACATTTTTGGACATTTATTAAAAAAGAAAAACTGAAATATCACATGGTATTCAGACCCTTTTATCAGTATTTAGTAGAAGCACCCTTTTGATTTAATACAGCCATGAGTCTTTTGGGGAAAGTTTTTCCCATCTGGATTTGGGCATCCTCTGCCATTCCTCCTTGCAGATCCTCTCCAGTTCTGTCAAGTTGGATGGTAAACGTTGGTGGACAGCCATTTTTAGGTCTCTCCAGAGATGCTCAATTGGGTTTTAATACAGGGCTCTGGCTGGGCCATTCAAGAACAGCCACGGAGTTGTTGTGAAGCCACTCCTTCATTATTTTAGCGGTGTGCTTAGGGTCATTGTCTTGTTGGAAGGTGAACCTTCGGCCCAGTCTGAGGTCCAGAGCACTCGGGAAAAGGTTTTCGTCCAGGATATCCCTGTACTTTGCCGCATTCATCTTTCCCTCGATTGCAACCAGTCGTCCTGTCCCTGCAGCTGAAAAACACCCCCACAGCATGATGCTGCCACCTCCATGCTTCACTGTTGAGACTGTATTGGACAGATGATGAGCAGTGCCTGGTTTTCTCCACACATACCGCTTAGAATCAGGGATGGAAATTAACTTTTTTGTCCACCGGCCACTGTGGCTGGCGACATTCTTGGGTAAATAATGGCTTTTTTAGTTTCGGATAAAACCCGTCAGATCAGCCGTTTTTTGGCATCGCCAAAGCCTTTTTTGGTCGATGAGTGATGTAAAAAAGAATGACTGGTGCGCTTGCCTTGACAGGCCGCAAACGAGAGAGAGAGAGCGGCCGGGCACTCTCACGTCTTCAAAAAACCCGAGCGCTGTCTTGCTCTCTCTCCCTTGCGCATATTAATCAAAATAAATTGACAAGATAGTAAAAGGTCAGAAGACCGCAGTTTCACATGGAGCATTTGGGGATTTTTAGTGATTAGAGACTCTAGGAGCAACATGGTTCTGTCATATTTACATCATGCACTCGTGGCTAGCTCCCCCACCCTTTCGCGCTCAAGCCTCGACGGAAGAAGCGCGCGGGTTGATGTTCGCACGGCTAGCTCTTTGCTACACGAGAGCTACCCCGCCCTAAAATACACCACGCATGCGCGGCTAGCTCTCCCTTTGCAAACCGAGAGGCAAACCGCCTCTCGCGCTCCCACTTTTTCTTCCCTCATCGAGCCTCGACAGAAGAAGCGCACGGGTGTTGAAGGTGTGCCTCCTCTAAAAGTGTCCGCCGTCTGGGTGAAACAGTATGCTGTTTTTATTTAACCGCCACGGTGGCTGGTAGGCGAAGTGAGTTTACCCGCCACAACAAAAAATAACCCGCATTTGGCTGGTGGCGTGTTCTAATTTCCATCCCTGCTTAGAATTAAGGCCAAATAGTTACTATCTTGTAACTAGTAACTATCTTGGTCTCATCAGACCAGAGGATTTTATTTATCACCATCTTGGAGTCCTTCAGGTGTTTTTTTAGCAAACTCCATGCAGGCTTTCATGTGTATTGTCACTGAGGAGAGGCTTCCGTCGGGCCACTCTGCCATAAAGCCCCGACTGGTGGATTGCTGCAGTGATGGTTGACTTGCTACAACTTTCTCCCATCTCCCGACTGCATGTTAACAATTGTTGACACAAAATGTCAACAACTCTGTGTTTTTCTGTCAATATGGGATGCTGTGTGTACAATAATGTGGGGGAAAAACTAACTTATATGATTTTAGCAAATGACTGCAAAATAACAAAGAGTGAAAAATGTAAGGGGGTCTGAATACATTCCGTACCCACTGTATATTTAATCAAATGTCAGTTTGGTGCAACTATCCTGATTTCCTAAGAAAAGAAAAAAAACATAAGAAAGGAGTAATATACCCCCCTCCCCCCCCCCCCAACTCCAAAATAGTGTCTTGTCTTTTTATTATTATTATTATCAACTTCAGCAGAAAAAAAAGGTCAAACTCATCATTGACCCCTGCAATAAACAGATTTTTATCAAGAGATCCTCCTGATATCGGACCCAACATTCTCATGGGAAGCACTCCGACATGCATGGTTGCATCAGGCACTTATTTACTTTTCCTTTTTTAAAAGAGATAATCCTGATCATACATATGTTTATTGTTTTCATCCTATCATGGTTATTTGAAGTGGCCTCGTGATCTGTTTACCAATAGGGTTCAGTTGAACAAAGAAACAGCAGAAAGTTTAGCATAAATCTACGTAACGTCATACAATTGTTTATTGTTTGAAGTCATGTCAGGCTTCAGAAGTTCATATAAAGACAATTTTTTCAGACAGCATTTCAGACCTTTCCAGTTTCATGTGGCATATTGACATTTACATATTGTCCAGTGCTGTACCTTGTACTGGAATACATTATGCATAAAACTGAAAAGTTTTCTCAACATCTGAAAAATACACCCACTTTTTTATTATGAATGTTAATATTCTTTTATTAGAGACCATTATGTAATGCTATCCTAAGGGGGCATTGCACTGTGAAATGTGAACAGCTTTTGCCAGGCAAACACACGTTTGTGCATTTTTCACAAATGCATATTAATGCTTTCAGAGTTTTAGACAGTTCACTTTATAGCTTTACGAAGGGATGTTGCTATACTTTATGTAAGAGCCTCCTTCGGGGCTTTGAATGTCATGTTTCACGCTGCGGCATGTTGTGTGCATTTATAATCAGGTGCTCAAATATGGGTTAACATAACCTGCTGAGACAGTCAATGATCATATTGTGGAGGATGAGATCTTCACAAATATAAGAGCACATACTTACCTCAGTTTTGTGACCAAATTTGATTTTGTCCTTTGCAATGAAATGTGAGAGAGTGTGAAATAAAAAATACTGTGTGTGTGTGTCTGTGTCTGTAGGACCACTTGCTGATCAAGCACCCTGACCACACACACACACAGGCATTTTGTATCCCTTCCCCCTCATGTTCAGCACAGCAGAATACTAAAAAGCACTTTTTTTTTCTCACACATTCACACCCACCTGCTGTGTGATTAACTTACAAAAGTGACTGTTAGTTGTAGAGCCAGTTTTGTAAACCACAGAGGCAGTGTTTGATTGATTAAAAATTGGGAGGAAAAGGCTTTATGCTTTCCCAGTTCAGTCCATTCTTCTGTAAATGCCAAGCAGAATGCAAAGAGGTAACATGGGTGTCTACAAAATTTTAGCTAGTAGCTGTGATGAAACTGTTGTTTTCTTTTTGTGGTCCTATCGTGGCCTGCTATGTTATTCCTTTCAAAGTTTTTAATATACAAACAATTAATATTATTTCTGATAAAAACGTAACTAAATCGAATTAGTCATTGAATCCAATAATAAAATAAAACATGACTGTGCAGCAAGTCTCTTAAAATATCTGATAGATTGAACTGTTAGGGTTAATTTAGGTAGTAAAATGTCATATACAAAAACCTATTTATAAATAAATTATATTTTCTCAAATTAATAATTCATGATTTGTAATATATATATATATATATATATTATTTGTTGTTTTTTTTTTACTTTGAACCACATACTGTATGTAAAAAAAAAGCTTTTGGAGAATAATTAAGATGTTTACCCCTTTTTTAAACCTCAAGTTAATACGTTTATATGGTGTAAATATTTTTCTTTTAAACTAACATGAACATTAGGTACATTGTGAAGAATTTTGCACATATTTAACACTTGATTTTAAAAATATTTTTGCTGTTGTTACTCAAACACAGTATGCCTCCAGTAACAAATATTAGTAATATATAGCTGCACCATTCCGATAAACTGTTAGTATCCACGTTCTCTGCAGAGACACCAAAATTATTTTGTGGTTAGATAAATGCAGTTATCACTCACAGAATTTTTTGGATAACACTTTATTTCGATAGTCCTACAAACATTCTACTAACCATAAGTAACTTTGCATGTCAACTACCAGTCATTAGAGTCATTATCTGCTAACACTGCCTGCCCACCAAAATGGCCACCCACTTTGTGGACCCAGTGGTTCCCCAACAAACATCCTACTGATTATAAGTAACAATGCAAGTCAACTTATTCTACTAACACTAACCCTAATCTAATAGTCTACTCTATTAAGATTCTTTTAGTTAGTAAAATGTCTATAGAGGACTTTGGAAATTAAGTGTAACCGAGATTTTATCTCTGACTCTGAGAGACATTGATGAGTTTTAGAATTGTTTCTGTTCTTATGTAACCCTATGGTGTGCCGTGACTATTCTAACAGTTTTTTAAAGTCTCTTTTGCTTTTGACAGAACAGTCAGGACAGGCCAGGCTACAGTCATCAATGTCCATCCAGGAGTGCCTAGATGGCCCAATGCTTGAGGATGAGGAGGGTGAGGAAGGCAGAGGGGTGGAGAGAGAGTCAGACATAGACAATGCAGTAGACAGCGCTCCGTCATCGGTGATATCAGATGGAGGGAGAACTAGAGAAAAAGCGGAAGGGATTGGGCTTTGCCTCCCAGGAGAAAAGTGAGTGCTTTTATTTTCATTTATTTTTATTATCGTTTTCTCAATATACATAAGGCTGAATTTATTGATTTGTAAAGGAACGTGTGAACAGAATAATAATTACTTTAAGTGGAGGAACAAAAATCTACAGACAAAGCCTAAAGTGCACAAAAAAAAAATCTCTCATTGCTGCAGGTTTAGTCAGATGTGTAATCTCTCCGAGACTTCTGATCAGTCTACACATTCATCTGCCTCAATAAATGAGGAGCAGTTTGAGGACTATGGAGAAGGAGAGGATGGAGAATACACTCCTAGCAACCCCTGTCCAGACGATGAGATCCGCATTAATGGATGCTCAGATCTGGGCTCCTCTGTTTCCTCTAGGTAAGTGTGTGTTTTACTCTCTCTGACTGCCCCTAGGTCTGTTTTCAGAGGGATTAACTTTAAAATGAAAGTATAATTAGGTAAGAAATCCAGATATCAGCCTTCATTACACAGGATTTCTTTCAGTAACTGTACTAGTGGATAGAACGGTCTGACTGTGGGAAACTTCCTCACTCAAACAGCACTATGATGCTAGTAGAGAAGAAAGAATATTGTTTTGTTAACCAAATTGACTTCCTTTTATTTTAATTTTAATAATAAAAGGGGAAACATTTTCCTGTCTGTTTTGCCATTATATGTCTACTGTTTAACATATAAGGAAGTAGATGTTTGTTCGTAGAATATATTAAATGAAATGTTGGTAATATCAAAGAAAAGAGAATCTGCTGATTTTTAAGATGCATGTTCTGTCATCTAATATGCACTAATCTGATTGCAAATAACCCAAACCCAAAATTAAAATGTCTTTGGAAGTTCCAAAGAAAAAAATGTAATAAGAACAATGGGTCTCATTAACTAATGATGCGTACGCAAATATTTGTGCTAAAATGTGCGTACAAAATTGTTTGAGAACAAATCACGATTTACCAAAAATTTCGTAATAAAATTGATTCTAAATTTTACAAAAAATATTGGAACAACTGAAAACGCACGTATGCAAAAAGCAATTACTCTATACAGCCTTATAATCATGTTAAGAAGTTATATTTCGTGTTGCATTAATTGTATTGTATAATCCATAAATAAAATTATTAAATAATACAATTGAATCTCAAATAGGCTACATTCCATCATATACAGTTAGAGTAAGAAAAGCTGCGTTATAGCTTCAGCTGCAAGGTTTCTCTGAATAACACAGATATACATGTACAGCTGGCTAATGAGAGGTCTGTATAAAAAGTGTTTATTGTGAGAATTGCACACTTGGCATTGCTCGAGGATCTGGTGAGAGCGCGTTTGTAAACGACGGCAAGTTTGACGACAGTGACGAAAGGCTGTAAGCAAAGCGTGTGTGAAAAGCCCTTACATGGATATGGTTTGGGCGTGTTTTATGCAAATGACTAACCTCGTGCATGAGGCCACTCATTTACAATAGGCTACTCCGAGTGCACTAACATCATCTCATTTATAAAACTGTGCGTAGGATACTTGCTAAAAGTGTACGTGCGCCCTAAAGCTAAAAATGGTGTAAGCCCAAAAATATTCAGACTTATAACTCCATTAATGGGAATGGCGTATTTAATCTAAAAGTGTATATCAAATGTAAAACAGTTCCTTTTATTCATTCTTTTATTTATTTATTTAAACTGTTACTGTGAACATGCACTGATTAGGACTCATAATGAAGATTTAAAGTGGTTTTCCTTTATCTGTCAGTACAGCTCACCATCGGTGTCGCCAAACTGCTCTGTCTTTAAAAAATGTATCCCGTCAAGGCCTTTTTTGTGCATACGCAACGGTTATAAATGAGACCCCAGAACAATGTTAAGAACAAATTCATGTGTGTGTAAACGTGTTGTGAATTAGGCCGAGATTTTATTTTATTTTTATTTTATTTTATTTATAGGCCGAGAAGTTCTGCTGTGCGTACAAATATGAAATAATCCACAAAATTTTTAGTGAATGAGACTTTTTTTCTAAAAAATGAGTTTTTTAGAAATATACTTGACTCAAAAACTATTGAGGGATGTTTGGATGGACATGATGATTCTATTGGGGAGAACATTGCACTTATGTTCTTATTTTGGCCTTCACTCTCATTCCATCCAGTGCTGGTCAGACTCCTCGGAAGATGCGCCGCGCTGGTGACCAGATGGATGTGTTCTGCTCTCAGTGCTGTAAGAGGGTCAGTCTGCTCAATGACCTGGAGAATAGGCTGAAAAACCTCAAAACCAACAGGTACAACATTGACTACATTTGTTATGAAAGATATGAAATACTTTTTCATCCAGAGGGGGTTGTCATACACTGGTTGTACACTCATCCTAAGGAAGACTTGGAATTAGAGTTAGCTCTTTGAAACTAAAGTTTAGTGGTTGTGGACTTGTCTAGTTTCTCTTCAGTAATGTAAAAGAAATGACCCCTCACATCTGGGAAATAAGCTTTTAGTGGCCTGGAATACACATTAGAGGCTCTCTAGGAGGATTAGAAGTTATTTGTTTTTCGTTCTCTTCCTGGGGCCAAAATAGACAATATTAAAGCGACAAGGTGATAAAAGCAGGGTTTTCCTCTAGGAGTTAATGTGAGTATATATGAAGGCTCTGATATCTTACTGCAGTCTCTCTGCACCACTAATGATTCGCTCTCTTTTCCACACATCATCCAGCCCACCACTTTAGTGCCCATTACAGCTTTATTAGCACCTGCACACATCCACACTTTAATCTGTCTCTACGCATTCTTATTTTGCCGTCTCTCGATGCCTCCTCTTCTTTCTTACTCACATCAACATCCACATCCACACATGAACAAACAGGAAAGCCCTTCTCAGGCTTTGAATACTGATGATTTGTTGAGAATCCGGAGGTACAACCAGATCTTCTCTTCTTTTCTTCATCACTGCTGGTTTCAAAGATTGCCAGTGAGTTTACTTTAACATTTTTTTCTCTTTTGAGGAGGCTTGTAATTAGCCACTCATATCTTAGCCTTTCAAAATAAAAGATGAAATTAGATCAGATGGAACATGTTGTTCATGTTGTTTTGGGAAGAGGGCATCAGATAGAAGGGGAAGAGGGAGAAAAAGACAGGATGGGTAGAGGCATAGAGAGGAGGAATGAAAGCTAAATGCTTAGTCAGGAGAATGCTTCAAGAAATGCATTAGTTCACTTCACACCTCATTCTGTCACTGCTGGAAAAAAGCTTTTGGCAATAAATCTATGTGTGCGTGTATGAACAACAGGAGAGAGTTTTGTTAATGAATTGTAGTATGTGCTTTACCATATAAATCTCTAATTCTTTGAAATCTCAATGTAAAGAATTTTTGTGAGCATTAGGTAAGGTTGGATCTGATCTGAATCTGAACTTTTGTCAAGGCCCACGCACTATATTCAAATATGTTGTGAGTGAGCCTGGGTTAAGTGCAATGTCCAAAAAATGAATAAAGCCTATGACACTTTCCACTTATAGGGTGCAATTTAGTGCCCCATTATTGTTTAAAAAGTGCACAAATACCACGCTTTTGTATTGAGATCTATTAACTAGCATATCTGTATTTTGATCAGTCCCACATCAGATTGACCATCTTAACTTGTATCCTATAAATGAAATTATATTGACCATTTTGCGAGATGTAAACAACACTGGTCCAGAAGCACTTCCTGTTTCAGTTTTTTAACACTATATAAAAGCTGGGATAAAATACAACCAACACAACATATAAAACTGAATCAAAAAGTTAAACAAACATCTTTAAGATGTTTTCTTTACATGTGAAATAAAGAAAAAATACAAACTGAAACAAGAAGTGTTTCTGGACCAGTGTTTTTTACATCTTGCAAAATGGACTATACAATGTGTTGAATTACTATTCAATTATTTGTTGTAGAAATCTATATTTAATTATTTTATTAAAAAGAATGTAATGTTTAATTGATTTTAAAAGAAAGTAACATCATTTGGGAAGAAGTACATTTTTAACAATGATTTTCTTAATTTTTACACAGTTGCAGAATTGGCTGCATATGTCAAGGTCAACCATTCAATTATGTTAATATAAAAAAAATTGCAAGGCAACCCTCATGTACAGTACATGTATGGTGTATTACTAAACGGTTGTTAAAAAAAGGAAAAAAAGTTTTCATCAATATCAAACAGAGACTTATACTATATGATTAATCTATGTCTATGTTTTTTTTGTTCTTTTTCCAGCCCGAACAGAAAGATCTCCAGCACTGCATTTGGAAGGTAGGTCACTCCATATCACTCTGATCAGTGTTTGTTTGTGTAGTCTATGGTGCTGTTAATCATTATCGTGTTTCCATCTCCCTCACTGCTATGACTGTGATCACCATCTGTGGTTTAATAAGTGAATATCAATATAATATAAATTTGTGGAGTCATATCATCAATATTAATCACGAGGTGAAGACAATTTGGGAAGAGGAGATGAGTATATGAACATGTCAAATCTAATCTAATTATTTTAGCGAAATTGTAGACTCCAAAGTTAAGTAAACTGAAGATTACACAATAGAGGAAAAAACACAGAGCCGTTGAGCATTGCATTTATATGTGCTCCAGACCAGTATCTGCAAAGATTTTTGGTCTAATAACCCAACAACCCCTCAGTAAAGTCACACCAAATCAGAAATGTGTTCCTCATATCAACACAAAGAAATAGAGAGTGAAATCTGTTATTTTTTAAAATTAGAACACCAATTGCTTCCTGTTTATGTTTGTAAAATTACACATGTTAGCAAAAATAATTGTCTCTCCTAAGTCTAATCATGTTGCAAATGATTGTTTCATAATCTTTTTTTTTTAAATCTGTTCAAATAAATGATATTATCAGCATAACAAGTTTAGCGAATTTGAATTGAATCATATAACGTTATTTAAAATGTTTCCTAATCTTATTTTTAAACTCTATTTATTTATATATTTTTTTAATATATTAAAAAGGTTTTCAATGAGGTTCCAGGCTAAGAACATGTTGTGACAGATTCAAGGTTATATTAAGCAATAGTTTATTATTGTGTGTGTGTGTGTGTGTGTGTGTGTGTGTGTGTGTGTGTGTGTGTGTGTGTGTGCGTGTGTGTGTGTGTATATACACACACACACACACACACACACACACACACAAGTTTTTGACTGAAAATCTATGCATTAATTGAGATAGATATTTTTTATTTTTAAAACTTTTGTTTGTGTATATATACAGTACTGTGCAGAAGTCTTAGGCACACTAGTATTTTCGCCTCAAAGAAATGGTTTTAAGCCAGTTATTTATATATTTTGTTGTAGTGTCTCAGTAGGAAATATCAGTTTACATTTCCAGACATTAATTGTGCCATTACTTGTCAGAATCCTTGTGCATTCAAAAATTTCACTGGATTTTTACAACAGCCAATGCTCCACACGGAGGTCGGATCTCACCATCATCGAGTGCATCTGAAATTATATGAAGAAACAGAAAAAACAGAGACTAAGACCAGAAGAACTGCGGCAACGTTTCCAAAGACGCTTGAAAAAACCTGCAAAACTAAAAACTATGTGCAATACCTGGACAAAAGCTGTTTTAAACGTAAAGGGTACTAAACACCTATTGATTTGATTTAGTTAACTGTTAAAAGTTAATAACAGTTAATAAAAGTGAATTGATAAATAAAATCTATTTATGATTATGACATTATTTTTGAAAACATTCTCATTTACAGCATTTTTACACAAGTGCCTTAAACTTTTTCACAGTACTGTAGCTTTGCAGGCAGGCAGGCACTACCTTCGAGACGTTGCCGCAGTTCTTCTGGTCTTAGTCTCTGTTTTTTCTGTTTCTTCATATAATTTCAGATGCACTCGATGATGGTGAGATCCGACCTCCGTGTGGAGCATTGGCTGTTGTCAGAATCCTTGTGCATTCAAAAATTTCACTGGATTATTACAATTAATGGCACAAAAATGTAAACTGATATTTCCTACTGAGACACTACAACAAAATATATAGATAACTGGCTTAAAACCATTTCTTTGAGGCGAAAATACTAGTGTGCCTAAGACTTTTGCACAGTACTGTGTGTGTGTGTGTGTGTGTGTATATATATATATATATATACATATACATAATATTTACACTCCCATGCGACATTTGATAATATTCTTACAATTAAACACAAGAGAACTGTCTAGATCATATATATGGGGGTCAGTTTTTCTTGTCCCTTTGGCAACCAGTCTCCTACTCTAAATCACAGTGACGAGATGAAAATGGCCTGCCAAAGCTGACCTGAGTGAAAGAGAGAGAGAGAAAAAAGCAGAGCTAGAGAGGGAGAGACCAATGTGTGTAATTTTTATAATGTATTTTCATGTGTGAAATCATTGCTTTGACGACAATGACAGACATAAAACAAAGTGACAACCAAGATCTGACTCTGCAGAAGTGTGAATATGTATTTGTGTATACACAAGTTAACGCCTCTCAGAGCCTAATGCAAGTGGGACAAGAGAATAGTGTTCATGCCTGCGCATGCGTATGCGTCTTTTAGACAAGTGCTTTTTGGTTCTGTGTGGGTGGGTGGACTGGATCGGGCACTGCTCCAGCTCTCACAATGCCTCTACTGGCCAGTGCCTTCTCTCTCTCATAACCGCAGTGCTCCTAAAGATGCACAGGCATTGAATGTGGATGCATAGAATGGATGGGTGCAGTGATGCAGCATGGGTAGCGTAGTTTGCAAGTAATTGATGCTGCAGTGTAGTCCAATCCATCCATAGAACTGAGCAGAGAGGTAAGTGGGACGTTCCTCTTGCAAAATGTAGCTGTCAGCATGGGATCTGAATGCTGAGGGTACACAAAATGAACTGGTGTTTTGTGTGATGAATCAAAATATAATTGCCTTTTGTCTTATTGTGATGCAATAGTATAGTATTCTATGATTAAATTGTTCCTGTTTTTGTTTTGTGTGCATGTGGGTCAACAGGCAGCTGTTCCACAACAGTAACCTCAGCAGTAGTCACGGCAGCACAGAGGATTTGTTCAATGACAGCATTGACTCCTGTGAACTAGACATTAGTGAGAAGGTAAAATCTCCTCACAGCACACTCATCTACTTTCTGATCATAGACCTGTGAAAACCACATCACCAATGCAGACTGTCTTTGGAGTGTCTTTTTAAACGCACGCTTAGTGCTGATCTCTGCTCAGGAAATCACATCCGTATATGTGTAAGCTTTTTAATGCAGGGGGTCAAATGGGTCTAGATGATGCTGGTACTTAAATTGGATTTTGTCTGTATCTGGGTGTCTCTTCAACTTTTTGCACTTTTATGTCCCATGGTTTGATTTAAATTAACACATTTGAGAACTTTTGCGTTTATGTGCATAAATATTTAGTATTTTATTAAATAAATTTCCATTTTAGGGAATAAAGAAAAAGAACGGTCATATTGTGTTTGGGAAGTAATCAATTTAAACTATTTGTAAATGAAAGTTTTATTTTAAAGTATGCACACATTACCGTTCACTGAAGACTGTTCCTACGTGACATTAGTTAACAGTGAAAGAATGCCTGGTAAAATATAAACGTTTAATATTTGACAACTGTTTTGAATTTATAATATGCTATCATTTCCATGATTCATTCTAACTGAATATGACGGTGCAAGAAATGTTTCGCGTTTTCGACTTTCAGATTAAGAATGAAGCCCCTCCTTCTTTAATAATTTCGGTGATGCGTAACGGAGCGCCACAGAGCAGTATCAAGAATATCATATACTGTACATTGCACTGAAATATATCTTTTTTATCCTTATTATCTTTTTTAAAGTGTACAATGCACAAAACAGATCTTCATTGCAGCGACTCTTTTAAGACAGACGTCTTAACAGACGTCTGTGATTGGCTACAATGCTCAATACTGCTAAAGCACGTTGGTACCTTTGATACAAAGGGAGAAAATATAAATCTAATCCTGTAAAATGCTCTTGTCACCATTAGGCAACGCTGTAATCATATTCACAATTATTTTTCAGAATAATTTTTAAGACCTATAGAAAGACAAGGTAACAAAATATTCTGGGCTAATATAATGAAAAACACCTGTTTCTTATATTTATTTAAAACCGGTATCAATACAAGTTTACATGTCTGCTATGTCTGTTGTTGCAAAACTTTTTTCATGGTAGTGCTGATAGTCATTCAGACAAGACTGGTTCAGAAGCAGCCACTAATAGTGAGATTTGCATTCATTGTTGTTTCCTACACAGGTGAGTTACTTGGACAAGAAAGTGACAGAGCTGGAAAATGAGATTCTGATGAACGGGGATGTGAAGTCCAAGCTGAAACAGGAAAACATACAGTTGGTCCACAGGTGAATTGCTACTCAAGGTGCACCCACACAAAGTTAATTTCAATGGAACTATGTTATATGCATATGTATTTGCATACTTGTCTCTTTAAAGAGCAGATTATTTCCGCTCGCCAAGGGTTCTATATAAAATAGTCTTCACAAATGTTTTGCATTTACTGAATGCCAAAAGGTCAAAACGGGTCTCTGCAGGTCTGCCAAAGATAAATGTTAATGTTGAGGACTGTGCTTGAACAGGATTCACGAATTGGAGGAGCAGCTAAAAGACCAGGAGACCAGAGCAGAAAACATGATGGAGGAGGAGCTCAGGAGACACAAAGAGGCCTACAGTCGACTGGAGAAAGACAAAAACACACAGATAGAGCTGCTTACAAATCGGTGAGGGACAAAAATAACATTTCAGCACAATGTGAATTGCAATTACAAAACTCCAATTTTTTTTCTTAAGAATTTTGAGTAAAAATATCCAAATATCTTTGAATCAAGATCAATTTACATAAATCTAACTAAAAACGTAGTGAGGTTTAAGTTTGGATTAAGTAAGTTTCTAATGGCCACCAAGGGCATATTTATTCGATTTAAAAAAAAACAAACAAAAAAAAAAAAAAACGTAAGATTGTGAAATATCATTACAATTTAAACTATCTGTTTTCTATTTAAATACATTTTTAAAAAATATTTCCTGTGATGGCAAATCTGAATTTTCAGCATCATTGCTTCAGTCTTCAGTCACATGATCCTTCAGAAATCATTCTAATAAGCTGATTTGGTGCTAGGTTATCAATTATTATGATTGGTACTCAATAATGATTCTTATTATCAATGCTAAAAATAGTTTAGCATAAACTTTTACAAATATTTTTATAGAAATCTTATATACACCAAACTTTTTAATTGCAGTGTATCGAGATTTCCGCAAAAATGTTAAGCAGCACAACTGCCATCACAGGAATAAATTACACTTACACAATAAGAAAATAAAACTACAAAGTATTTGCCTGTACTATAGTGTAACAAGAATAAATGTAATTTTGTGTTTTAAAACAAACAAATTTTATAGAAATTTGCTTCTAAAGTAAATGTATAAAGAATACAGATTAATGCAAATAATTTCATCATGCAGTAAATACAATGCTTAATTTCAATTTATTTTCTAAACTGTACCTCATTTTTTACATATTCGTCGGCAGGCAGGTTTTACACTCCACTGTCCCACTATTTCAGCTTTTTTAACTCTTTCCCCATCATTGTCCCACCAGTCACCGCCAGCATTTTCACAACATTTTCATGGTGCCCAGAATACTTTGTTGAATGAACATGTGAACATGCAATATATCAAAAGAAAGAACAGGGCCTTTTCAACAAAATAAACCCATTTTATTCTATCTTAATGCATTCTTTTTTATCAACACTTGAATGTTTTGAAAGTTTAATTAAAACAACTATTTGAGTAAAAAGCTGAGGAAAAATGCGTTTTGTCAAATACTTCATCCAGATAGGAGGGTCGAAATTTCGACCCTCGTTCTGGGTCGAAATTTCATTCAGTAAAATTTGGCAGTTTTGATTTATATGCCGTTTAATGTTGATGATCGATTTATTTTACTTATTCATGTTCTTACATGATATTGCTTGTTTCTGCTTCTTTTTTACATACCCTTTGATGAGGAGAATCAGTTCTCTTTCAGGTGTCATAGCGCATCCTATGGTATAACAGTGAAAACACGGAAAGCCGTAAATTTCCATAAATGGCAGGGAAACTTTGTCTCAAATTATGTAAATTTCCATCAATGGCAGGGGAAGAGTTAAACACTCTTCCTTGGAGGTCTTCCAGTATTGGTGTATATTCCAGTATATAGTGCACTTATGAAGCCAACACAGTTAAGCCACTGAAGGGAACTTTACATTATATCTAGAAACCTGAGATTGTAATTTACAGAGCTATTGTGCAGTGGACTTATTGCATCAGTAGTATGATGGAAGGCTTCTTTTCTTTTTTCTTTTTTCTACCGACAGACTACATCATCTAGAGGAGGAAAATGGAGAGATGGCAATGAATATGATCAGACTAAAATCCCAGACAGATAAACTGGATGAGGTGGGACAGTTTTACTATACATATTCATGACCTTTTTAATTTAGGTTGAAGGAAATGTAAATGAGGATGAATGAATGCTTGTAATAGTACTGCTTCATTTTAAAGGTACACCATTTTGTATATATTTTTTTTTCTCAAATAAACAGAATTGAAATAATGATTCAATACATCATCAATCCTTCTACTAAAATGGTTTCACAGAAAAGTCCGTACATACGTCACTCGCCGTGTGTGTGTGTGTGTGTGTGTGTGTCAACATATCCGTAAATGAAGAAAAGTTGCTCCGGCCACTTTGACGCGTGTATGGTGAGGGAGTGGTATAGTTTAGATGTCACAAGTTACTAGCAAGAAGGTTTAAAAACGCTGAGCAGAGGAGAGCCTGCTGGCAAAAAGAGAATGTGATCAAGCTCACAATAAAATGAGAATCAACATTGACTTGGCTTTTCGGAGATGGTGACAACTGAGGGATTTCAAATGTTGTAAAAAAAGACTACCCAGAGATTTTTATTACTCAACAGGTAAGTAAGGTATTTTATTGAACAGATAATTTGCTGTATGTAGCTCTAACAGAGTTCATTTTAAGCATTACCCATTGTGAAGGGTCATTTAATTTTGAGTTGTTGTAGCACTGTGCTGGAATTCAAGGAAGTACCGTGTCTATTAATGGGTATAGCTACAGTAATGTTTTCAGCTAGTCGTTCAGTTTAAAATCATTTCCATCTAAACTGGTAATAACGCTTAAGCCTTGTAATGAGCGTTTTATGAGCAGTAGGATTTTTAGCTATTAATAGGAACCATTTTCATCCGCAGTCGCAAAGAGCTGAAGAAGCACAACTGAAATGATGTCCTTCAGTAAAATGCATGCGTTTTTTTTTATCCGCTAGAGGACCAAAAGTTAGATTAGTTATTAGTTACAAAATTAGTTTCTAACACATGTTCTGGCTTGTAAAGCCATCTGCAGTTCTTACAACATTCTTTGTATGTTGGTTAGAATTTGATCAAAAAGGGTTTGCCAACTAAATGCCAACTTACTATTATGTCAGATTTATTTTTAATTGTTTAATCAGGGAGCTCACAAAAAATTACATAATAGGGATCTTAAATAAATGACAAGTAATTGTCCGAATTGACTGTACACCTGCTTAAATGTCCTGTTTGTGTTTGTGAAGGAGAGGCAGCGGATGACAGATAAGCTGGAGGATACAAGCCTGCGGTTGAAGGATGAGATGGATCTGTACAAGAAGATGATGGACAAGCTACGACTGAATAGAAATGAGTTTAAGAAGGAAAGAGATACCATGCAGGAGGTAAGTTCTAAAATGTGCTTATTTTTTGACACTGGTTAAAACGGACATACTAAATAACCTATTAATGGTGGAAATGTCTTTATTATAATGATTTGAGAACTATAACCATACCGTGCAATCATTTAGTATTTTTTAAGAATATATTTCATATACAAATTTTGGCAACTTTTGATAATTAGAAAAATCGCATAGAAACTTATGTAAAGATTGAGATAATGCTGATTTTGCCCACTGGTCACTAAAGTAAATTTAGAGTAAACAATGTAAAAAATGCAGTGATTTCAACAATCTTTTATTCAGCATGTTATTCAGCAAGTTGACAAAAGCTCATCCTAATCTTTTATGCCAGTTGTTTTTTAAGTGTATATAGTCACCCAATTATATTTACTGATAGAGAAAATATGGCCTTGTCCAGCTTTATTTGCACTTAACAGGTTGCATAACCTATCTATTAAAACACAAATTAAACCGTCTAAATGTGAAAAGATACAGGTCAAACGGAGGTACATTTACACAAACTGTATGAAGACTCAGGGAGCATATTCTATTGAGAATTGCTAGTATATTGAATTCAATAGATTCATTTAGCTCAGAATTATTCTGTCTATAGACTATACAGCAATCCTGTTCTTGACTACATATAAAACAGAAGTGTTCTCAGTTCAGTAGCTTGGTGCTTTTGCAAGTGCTTTTAAAAGTGTATTTTTTTTTTGTTCAGCTGATTGAAGATCTTAGGCGAGAGCTGGAGCACCTCCAAGTATACAAGCTGGAGGCAGAACGAATGGGGCGTGTTCGCAGATCTTCCATTAGCCTATCAGAATACAGCACTCGAACACGTGAGAGTGAGTTGGAACAGGAGGTCAAGAGACTAAAACAGGTGAGAGATGGAAAGCTGGTAACTCGATCTCTCAGCATGTATATGGCCTTTACTACAGTAGTCCCATAGTCAAATCTTTGACAAAATGTAAAATGCCATTTACATTACGAATGTTTTAAAATGAAAGGATTTGTTTATTTAAGATTGTTTCCTCCAGTAAAGGCTGTGAACTTCATCCCATTCAGGCAGTCTCAACTTTTTGTTTTAAAATTAATAATAATAAAAAAAACTATGGAAGCTTGTTTCCACCAAAGAATAAAAAATAAAAAGGGGAATTGCGACTTTATCTCCCAAATTGCGACTTTATCTCCCAAATCTGACTTTTTTACTCGCAATTTTTAGATTATATCTTCTTTTTGCAATTGTGAGTTATAAAATCAGAACTGTAAAAAAAATATATGTATTCGCGTGATAGTTGCAATTTCATGTAATAAAGTCATAATGGCAAGAAAAAGTCAGATTTGCGAGTTTATACACACACATGCAGAGAGAGAAAGAGAGGAAAGTTTTAGAGTGCACAAACGCATTGATTCCTCTTTCTCATAAATTAACAGCTGAGAAAGATCCTGGATGTTGTGTCGATATATATTCGATCCATGCATTGAGTCTTCAAGTGACAGCAGCCTAATATTCCTGCTGCTCTCTGTCATTATGTTAATAAAACAACAAAATGCAGCTTTAACAAAGATTAATCTATATTTTATTTCTATATTGAACACATTAGTGCCGTTTTACATTTAGGCCTATAAATGTTGTACCTGCATCATGCTACTGTTATGCTACGTTCACACCGGACGCGAATCGCGCGTCAAATTCGCGCCTGACGCGTCTAGTTTGACGCTTGACCACTAGTGTTAATTCGCGTGTCAAGAGCGAAACTGGCGCGCGTAAAGTTTGAAGCGAAATTTACGCGCGTGACGCGTGTCAGAATCAAAATCCGTTGGCGGTCATTGTTTTTATGTCGACCGAGCATTCATCAAGAGAGTTACCGCTCTGTATTTACTCTGGATAGCAGAACAGCGGCGTGGGGATCATCGTCGCCGTATATTTGTGTCCACCGGACCCTTCGGAGCCGAACCGTTTGGCGAGTTTCACCATTTGCTCGCTCCAGGAGCTGCGCTGGATGACGGCCGCTGTCAGCGGTACTTCCGCCTGTCACGCGGCCAGTTTGATGACCTGTTGTCCCGCATCTGAGCGAGGATCACCCTCGCCCTCATCCATCTAATCTAGCTGTCATTTATTTTTGTTTTGATAATAAATAGAGCCAGCCTTCAAAAGTTATTAACCTGTCCTGTGATTTTTTTTTTCTCTCTCTCACGTCCAGACACGAATTTATGCACATATGTTGATTGTCTTTACAACATAATACTATTTCTAGATATGGAATGAATAACATTCAATACAAAATGAACATGTCTCCATATAGAAATAATGTTTTAAGTGATGAAACATTTGCTTTGTTGTGCATAATCCCACCATGCATTTAGTCATATTAACAAAATAATTTATTGAAGCATCCAGACACTTTACCACGTGAGCAAGCAGCTAGGCTCCTGATTGGTTAACGCGGCACAAATTCACGCCAAAGTTCAGATTTTTCAACTCGGGCGGCAGACGCGAATTCGCGTCAAACGTGTGAATGCACAACGCTCAATTCGCGCCAACTTGACGCGCGAATGAGGCGTATTCGCGTCTTCCGCGCCGCGCTCCACGCCTCATTCGCGCCGCAGGAATTTTTCACGCGCGTAAAGCGTCTTTGCATTGACTTAACATTGAAATCATTCGTGCCTGACGCCCTATTCGCGTCCGGTGTGAACGTAGCATTATACTTTGTTACTTTGTATATACACTCACCTAAAGGATTATTAGGAACACGTGTTCAATTTCTCATTAATACAATTATCTAATCAACCAATCACATGGCAGTTGCTTCAATGTATTTAGGGATGTGGTCCTGGTCAAGACAATCTCATGAACTTCAAACTGAATGTCAGAGTGGGAAAAAAAAGAAAAAAAAATCAATTTTGAGCGTGGCATGGTTGTTGGTGCCAGACAGGCTGGTTTGAGTATTTCACAATTGCTCAGTTACTGGGATTTTCAGGCACAAACATTTCTAGGGTTTACAAAGAATGGCATTGTTTCTGACCATCTTCATCCCTTTATGGCCACCATGTACCCATCCTCTGATCTCCACTTCCAGCAGGATAATGCACCATGTCACAAAGCTCGAATCATTTCAAATTGGTTTCTTGAACATGACAATGAGTTCACTGCACTAAAATGGCCCCCACAGTCACCAGATCTCCATCCAATAGAGCATCTTTGGGATGTGGTGGAACGGCAGCTTTGTGCCCTTGATGTGCATCCCACAAATCTCCATCAACTGCAAGATGCTATCCTAACAATATGGGCCAACATTTCTAAAGAATGCTTTCAGCACCTTGTTGAATCAATGCCACGTAGAAATAAAGTGAAAGGGGGTCAAAACATTATTAGTCGTGTTCCTATCTATGCTTGTAATTTGTGTATTTGTTCTTATTTTAACACTGACTGTTCATTTGTCTTTAATATATTTTTAACTTTATTTGTTAGTCTGACAGTATTTCCTGGGGTATTGAAGTCCTAAAAGCGAGCTAATAGTAATAAAGGAATAGCAGCCCCACCCATACACGTACATACAAACATATGAAGAGTTCAGATGCAAAAGCCTCTAAATGCCATTTGAAATTTTCTTCTTTAATGATGATTTTTATCAAACTTATATATTTAAGTTCAGTAATTTCACTTAAATAACAATTAATAGGTAATTATCATTGCAATTTAAGTGAAATTACTGAACTTAAATATACAAGTTTGATAAAAATCATCATTAAAGAAGAAAATTTCAAATGGCATTTAGAGGCTTTTGCATCTGAACTCTTCATATATATATATATATATATACATTTTATCTTTTTCTGCTTATCCGAAAAAATTATTTGATCCGTTACTCAAACCGTAAATGATCTGAACCGCGAGTTTTGTGATCCGTTGCACCACTAATTGTGAGATAGCCTACTGTATATGCTCATAATTGTGAGAATTTTTCAAAATGGTGAGAGAAACGTTGCAGTTATCTCTTAATTTTTTTCATTTCGTGGTTTAAACAAGCTTCCATAAAAAAGTGATCCCAAAATGAATTTTTTTATCTTTTTCTGTCTGTTATTTCATCTTTCTTACTGTGTGTATATGCAGAGAAGTGTTTCCAAGGACATGCCCTTTGACCTCCAGCAGCTTGTGTCTGCTCGGGCACGACTCTTTCCGAGTCTGATGGTAAACTGTAATTCCTGTGCAGACTTAATTTCACCCAATTAACCACTAATATGTTCATTCATAAGAAGTGTATTTTCAAATTATCTGGCAGGCTGCCGTTTCTTCTCGCCTAACATCTAATATAGGTTTTTTTTTTTTTGGCTGTAGATTTTGTAGCTCCATGTTGTTGTCAAAAGAAGAGGATAACTAGACAACATCACAAAAGTTCTGTTGTACTGAATAACAGTAAATCACCTCGTGCTTAAAGCAGAATCACAGGCCATGTAGCTCAAAGCTTTCTGTTTTCACACCAATCTAATTTTCCTTTTTTCAGCTCCCCATTGACGCTCCAACCTTTAAAACAACACTCATCACCCATGCAAAATCACACATCTCTATTTAGGTACTCTGGAGTGATATAAATAGTGAAATATCCCACTGCTATTATACTTGGTATGAGCACTCAGACACTGTTTGGCCAAACCAAATGGAGGGTTAGAACTAAATGTGTTATTAACTAATACAGCCAATGCTGTTGCATCATTGTAAAAATAAAGATTTAGTAGTATTACATTTGATGCATGTCTGTTATAAGAATGTGATCTACATTCATTGCGTAATCATCTCAATACAGATTCTTCATCTGCAGATTACTGCTTTCTGTTTGCCAGCAGAACAGACTGATCTCATGAAGTAGCGTGTGTATGCCACGCCAATTCGTATTTCCATTTTTGGCGTGCTATCAAGACACATAATCGCCTTTCAGCGTGTTTATAGAACGCCGTTGACTTAACGTTATATAAATATATGACTTACCTCAACCCCGTCCCTAAACCTAACCGTCACTGGGGTTAATGGCATTTATGACTGTTCCCTTACCATCCTAGGTAAAAAAAGATATGACTTACCTCAACCCCATCCCTAAACTTAACCGTCACTGGGGTTAATGGCATTTATGACTGGAGATTTGACTGCGTGTACGTACAGACACGCGAAATGACGCGGACGTTAATTGCGTAGACATACACGCATACACGCGGATAGCTCAAAATGCGTAGAGAACACGCCACCTGACTCGAAAGTGGTGTGTATGTTTACGCAAAAGTCATGATGTCATGTTGAGCAGAAGCTGGTTTTACCAACTTCTCTTGTTTCAGTCACAACTAGGCCACAATAAAAAGGAAAAGCAAGATGACTCTTGGGCCATCTTTCTGGGGTAATTGTAACTCCATCCTCTTTACTTTTCTATCACAGGAGAACCAAAAACTGAGAGAACAGAATGAAGATCTAAATGGTCAGCTTCTCAGTCTGAGCCTCCATGAGGCCAAAAACCTGTTTGCCACTCAGACAAAAGCGCAGTCTTTGGCCATGGAGATTGATCATGCCTCCCGTGACCAGGTAAGAGAAATGCTTGACCATGATCTGCTGATAAAAGTCAAAAAAGAGGAAGTTAATGTGTACGTCTGAGCAAGAGAACAATACAAAGCAGTTTTGTTTGTTTTTGTTAAAACAAACATGAATGACTTTGAGGAACACAAAAGGAGAAATAAAGCAGAATTTGTGGAACAAACCCTTTTTTTTACCATTTCATAGCTTTGTGTGATGAACTCAAGCCTTCCTCAGTTTTTTCAACATTTGGTGTTTTTCAAACTTTATATATTTTTGGTTCATTTAATTTGAAGTTTATAATTAATTGACAGTTTTTGGTGACCGGTCTCAAATCATTCTATAACTTTTGATTCCCACAGTTGATGGAAGCCCTTAAAGAACAAGAGGAGATCAACTTCCGCCTCAGACAATACATGGACAAGATAATTTTATCCATTCTGGACCACAACCCATCTATTCTGGAAATCAAAACCTAAAAGCCTGTCATAAGTGGTTTAGAAACTTAACAGAGGACCTAGAGCTCCCCCTGAGGTCACACTGAACCTCAAATGATGTGTGCCTCTGAATGCACAGTAACTACAACGTGCTGGTGTTTTGTGCACCTATCTCATGTTAAAATCTAAAATATACTGGTGAAATATTCATGCACATTTAAAGGGCATTTGTTCTGCTCAGTACGACACAAGGGAGTTTTCACTGGATTGGGTACTGATTTGCACCAACTAATGTGAATATTTTAGCTCTGGGTGTTCACGCAGTGTATTGTGTTATATGGATGATTGATGCTTGCTGAGTTTGCACTGGAATGTGATGAGAAAGGGTTATTGATGAAAAAGAAAAATATCTGATGGCCATCAGAGCTTGTCCATTCAGAGTTGCGATATATGATGAGAGGAAAGAGATTTTTGTAGGTGCATATGTAAGGATTTTGTTGTATGGCGTGTGAAGGAAAGGTAAGGAGAGACAAATGAGAAGAATAAAGGAGAGGTAATTGGAGCTGGAACTGGAACTTGATAACACTGCCTGTTGTAAAAGAGATCCATTTTGGATGAGGGGAATGCTCTAGTCTGTGTTTGCAATGTAAGTTTGAGATGTTTATTCTGACATTAATTTTTATGTGCTTCAAAAAAACTGTCAATGTGAATGAATGTACCAAACAAGTAGTATTTCAGGTTATTTACAGGCTTTAGCATAATAGTTTAAGACCTGTCTGTTCATCAGCTGAATTATGTTCTTAATGGCCTTAAAAGGAACTTGCACTTGTTCTTCCAAACTAAAATATTTAATCATTTTGGATGCACCTGAAAATGCATCATGATGCATCATCTCATAATTTTCTAATTGTTGATCTAGGCCTATATTTTTGGGTATATTATGCAATCCAAATGTTATTGTACACATTTTCTCATCATGTCTCCCGTTTCACTCACTAGTAGACCTATTTTTTTGTTCTGTAACACATTAAATAATTACCAAGCTACATTTCACATTATACTTGCTGGGTGGGGGATTTTATCAACTTGTAAATTATGGAGAGAAAAAAAAACAACCTTTGTTACTCTCTGTGCCACTCATTGCTTTAACATTATCTCTAACATTGTTTTGTCTTAAGGCATAGAAACCTTGACTACTATTTGATTATTTCTCATTCTCTTTATATTTATAAACGAGGTGCTGGAAAAAAAAGGCAGTATTAGGTTCGCTTTATGAGACGACAGACTGGGTAAATGACTCATGATGTCACAACATGCTGAATGGAAACACACACTTTAATCCAGGAAGGGTTATAGGTTCACTTGCACAAAATGTATACTCAGTTGAATAATAGACTGGTCGGAAATGCCTTAACGATACTTATGACTGTAATGAGCTTATTTCTGTTTCAGATGTCTATTAGTCTCTATGATCAAGATGTGCAAACAGGCTATTTTGTTTTACATGCCAGGGGTTATTGAATTGTAACGAGAAATTAACAGACTGATATTTTAAAATAAAACAATATAGAATTCCATTTGTGACTGAAAAGGTTTGGTACAAAGTCCCTTTGTAAATTCTTTGATTGAAAAAGTCTTTGGTTTGTATACAGAGCATGCACCTGTATTCAAGACTGGTGCAAAAAGAATCAGCAGACCATAAGAATTTATGAATCTGGTGAACATGAAAAGAAAACAAGAGATACAGGTTAGATTATGCACATGATCCAATGTAGCCTATACCGTGAGGAAAATAAGTATTTGAACACCGTGCTATTTTGCAAGTCCTCCCACTTACTTAGAAATCATGGAGGGGTCTGCAATTGTCGTCGTAGGTGCATGTGTCACCTAGTGACCAGTATAGAATAATAAGTTACCCAGGTCCCAGCCGCAGAAACCAACAGACAGTCAAAATCAGGTACCAAAAAAATATACTTTATTAAGGGAAATACTGATACGTAGGAAAAATAAAAGAGTTCACTAAAATCGAGTCTGATATCTTTTTGACAGATATCGAAGTTGGGTGGCTTCTCTGCAATTTGCTCCGACTGTCCTCCCTCAAAACCGTGGAGCAGACACGTCCCAAGAGTCACAGCAAGCGTCAGACCCACAGAAAATGGGCACGGTGCTCTAGGCAGCAAACGGCAAGCGTCCAGGAAGATTCCGATGTAGGCAAGCCAGCCTTCACAGCAGTGCTGGGTTCGTCACAAACTACGTGTAGCAGAGGGGCCCTTTAGGCGACGATAGCGAGCGTTGAGGGAGTTCCGAGGATACCCACACGATCTTCAAGGATCACCAGACACTGAAACCACCAGCTGGGTATAAGCAGAGGCTAGAAGAAAGCAACCACAATGACCACCAACACCATAAGTACCAAATGGCCACACACTCTCACTGTGTGGAAGAAAAATATAATTACGGCCCTTCAGGCAGTGATAGCGAGCGTTGAGGGAGGTTCGAGGGTAGCCACACGATCTTCAGGAAAACGGCAGACTCTGGAGCCACAAGCTGCGTATAGCGGAGGCTTACGGCCCTTCAGGCAGTGATAGCGAGCGTTGAGGGAGGTTCGAGGGTAGCCACACGATCTTCAGGAAAACGGCAGACTCTGGAGCCACAAGCTGCGTATAGCGGAGGCTGGAAGAAAGCAATCACAATGACCACCAACACCATAAGTACCAAATGGCCACACACTCTCACTGTGTGGAAGAAAAATATAATTACGGCCCTTCAGGCAGTGATAGCGAGCGTTGAGGGAGGTTCGAGGGTAGCCACACGATCTTCAGGAAAACGGCAGACTCTGGAGCCACAAGCTGCGTATAGCGGAGGCTTACGGCCCTTCAGGCAGTGATAGCGAGCGTTGAGGGAGGTTCGAGGGTAGCCACACGATCTTCAGGAAAACGGCAGACTCTGGAGCCACAAGCTGCGTATAGCGGAGGCTGGAAGAAAGCAATCACAATGACCACCAACACCATAAGTACCAAATGGCCACACACTCTCACTGTGTGGAAGAAAAATATAATTACGGCCCTTCAGGCAGTGATAGCGAGCGTTGAGGGAGGTTCGAGGGTAGCCACACGATCTTCAGGAAAACGGCAGACTCTGGAGCCACAAGCTGCATATAGCGGAGGCTGGAAGAAAGCAATCACAATGACCACGGCAGCCACGAGTATCAAATGGGCACGCACTCACACTGTGTTGAAGAAAGATAGAATTACGGCCCTTCAGGCAGCAATAGCGAGCGTTGAGGGAGGTTCGAGGGTAGCCACACAATCTTCAGGAAAACGGCAGACTCTGGAGCCACAAGCTGCGTATAGCGGAGGCTGGAAGAAAGCAATCACAATGACCACGACAGCCACGAGTATCAAATGGGCACGCACTCACACTGTGTTGAAGAAAAATAGAATTACGGCCCTTCAGGCAGCAATAGAGAGCGTTGAGGGAATATAGTTGTAGTACATCAACGTTCAGACGAAAGGCCTTGAAACCTAATCGCAGCACAACTGCAGCCAGACAAAAAATCTCCCTTCTCTCTTCCAAAGAACCAGCTTTTATATCCTTCAACCAGGGCATGAGTGGTTGTTAGACCATTAGTTTGCTAATTGAAATCATCATCAATTGCAAGGCATAGGCAATCATCAATTCTTGTCTATTCAATCAGTGACAGGAAGTATAGTCCAAATATGGGCAGAGAGGAGCAATGTAGTAATGAGTACCAAATAAACTAATTAAGTCACATTATTGGGAGAGGAAGTAGTCCAAATATGGGCATTGTAAAAAAAACAGGAAGTGGGTTGCCAGGTTTGTACAGAACACATATCTAAAAAGAGTCAAATAGGGCAGAAGTAATAGAAACAACAAAACCCACTACAAATTCTGATGCATACGTACAGTGAATACACTACAAATCAAAGTGCGAATACGTTTCCACACACAGTAAAACCATCACACAGTAAGGCCCTAATGTCTCTAATTAGGCAGAGAAAAAAAAAAGAAAAAAAAAAGAAAGAACTGAGCCAGCCTGTGACATTTCCCCCCCCACTTTTCTATTGGTCGTCCCGACCACTATCTATATGTTCCTGTACCTGGTTGGGGGCTGCCCCCGGGTGGATCTTTGTGACCGCCTTACTGCCCCACCCGTTGGACTCATCATAGGGAGGCTTGGCAGACAGGACACGGTTTCAGGCGGCGCTCGGTGTTCCAGTTCGCCCATCGGCTCTTCGGTTGACGGGCTTGGGGTCTGTGTCGTTGGGTCTACTCCACTAGCTGCAGACAACAGACCTCCTTCTGGGTTCGGTACGACTGAAGTGGTGGTGGAGGTATGACCAGTTAGCTGGTGCTGATGGACGAGTGGAGCGGCTATGACCGGATACCAGGACATGGGCTGTGGTTGGCTTATAGATGGTTCCCCTTCCAAAGGATCCTCTCTGGATATGTTCACTGGGCAACAGCGCAGATTATTGCGGTGGATGGTCTTAGTGGGGCCTTCATGGCCTTCTGGACAGATTACATAAACGGGTCGATCCGCTCGAGGTCGGGCTACCACCACCCAGACATCCGGGCCCCAACGCGGTGCCAGCTTGCCCTTTGCACGTCTGCGAAAATTCCTTGGGAGGACACGTTCCCCTGGCAGAAGTGAGTCCACCTTGGCCCGTCGATCGTACCTTCGCTGGTCCTTCTGTTGTTGCCTCTGAACATTCGCCTTTACCACGTTGTAGGCTTGTGTCAGAGTTCTATAGTGTTGCTTCACCCAATCCGACAGGGAATATCTTAAATTGGGAGGGGATGAAGTTACGACCCAGTCCACTGGGAGGCGCGCATGCCGGCCAAATACGATGAAATGTGGGGTCATACCAGTGGAACTATGGGTGGTGTTATTATAAGCCTGTAGCAATGCAGGGAGACTCTGTGGCCAGTGGTTCTGATCAGCTTCTGAAAGAGAACTAAGGAGAGACAGCAAGGTTTGATTAAACCTCTCACACACACCATTACCTTGAGGGTGGTAAGGGGTGGTTCGGGACTGTTTACATCCATACAACTGGCACAGTTGTTCCATTACCGCTGACTGGAAAGCACCCCCACGGTCAGAGAGAATTCTTTCTGGGCACCCCACCACCTGAATCACAGCACTGTACAGGGCTTTGGCTGTCGTGGTCGCGGACTGCTCTTTTGTTGGAACTGCAAAGGCATGCTTGGAGAAGAGGTCAGTCATGACTAATATATAGGGGAAAGGGTCGTAGGGATCGGCACCAGGGGGGCTCTTAACCCAGGTCCAGGCTTCTGTCGGAGGCAACGAGGACAGGCCGCAGTCCAGGTCTCCACACTTCTCAGCATACTTGGCCAAAAGAAACGTCTCCTCAAAACCGACCAAACCTTCTCTGCTCCTTGATGACCCAAGCTTTCGTGATACTGTTGCCATAACTTTTGCGCTTCCTGCTCTGGGACCAACACCTGCCAATATACCTCGCCAGTCCTTGGGTCAGCACATCTGCGTTTCAGTAAATTGTCACGAATTACAATGCGTTCCCAATCGAGCAGAAGTCGCTTTACCTGATGAGGAGCCCCTTTTCGTTCCTGAGGGGGTGGGAGCGTGTTCACAGCTTTCCAAGCCCACAGGAGTTGCAGCCCTGGGTCCTGAAACTGACAGTTATACCACCGGTCCGGAGTCTGAAGGATGTCCTCTGCAGGATGGGCCGAATCAGCTGGTTCAGCCACCACCCTTACAACAGCCTCAGTGCACTCGCCTGGCAACCTGGAAAGGGCATCAGCATTTTGGTTAGTTCTACCAGGGCGAAACTTGATGGTATACCGGTAGTTGGCCAGCTGGTTCGCCCAACGTTGCTCCACAGCTCCCAGGTTGGCAGTAGCTAGATGTACAAGCGGACTATTGTCTGTAAAAACTTCTATGGTAGCCCCCCACAGGTAATCTTTGAACTTCTCTGTTATTGCCCATTTCAGAGCTAAAAGTTCGAGTTTAAATGAGCTGTAATTTTGATCATTTCTTTCCGTGAGGTGCAGACTCCGGCTGGCAAAAGCTATTACTCTCTCTTGTCCATCCTGTTCTTGGGCCAATACTGCTCCCAAGCCCTCCAGGCTGGCATCAGTATACAACCGGAAGGGGAGAGAGAAGTCCGCATATGCAAGAACCGGGGCACGTACCAAGTCTTTCTTAAGTCTGTCAAAGGATTCCTGGCAAGCTTCGGTCCAATTCACCTGGGTATTTCCCTGTCGAACAGTGGCCGTTCCTTTCAGCAAGGTATGAAGAGGGGCAGCAATTTGTGAAAAGCCATGTATAAATCTCCTATAATACCCAGCAAAGCCCAGAAAGGAACGCACCTGTTTGATGGTTTGTGGGACAGGCCATTCCTTCACCACAGCTGTCTTTTGCGGGTCAGTGGCTACTCCCTGGTTGCTGATGACATGGCCCAAGTAAGTCACCTGTTGCTGAAACAACTTGCACTTCCTTGGTTGCAACTTCAGGCCATGCTCATGCAACCTCCAAAACACCTGTTCTAAGTGGTGAAGATGGCTGTCAAAGTCAGGGGAAAACACCACCACATCATCCAAATAAATTAACAGAAAGTCATGCACCATGGACCCCAAGCACCTTTGCATGAGCCTCTGGAAGGTTGCGGGTGCATTACACAGGCCAAAAGGCATGCGGTCAAATTCATAGAGGCCCATGGGGGTGGTGAATGCAGTCTTCTGCCGGTCTTGGGGGTCCATCTCTACTTGCCAGTATCCACTAGCGAGGTCGAGTGTTGAATACCATTGGGCCCTCTTCAGCCCGGTGAGGGATTCTTCGATGCGAGGTAGCGGATAAGCATCCTTGTGCGTGACTGCATTCAGCTTACGATAATCCACACAGAACCTCCAACTGCCATCCTTCTTTTTAACCAGGACTACTGGGGCTGCCCATGGACTAGAGCTTTCACGAACCACCCCACTGTCCAGCATGCCCTGGAGAAGGGTCCTCAGTTCCGGGTACAGACTTGGGGGGACAGGACGGTAGCGCTCTCGACAAGGCGGGGCATCACCTGTGGGTATCTGATGTTGTACTGCATTGGTTCTGCCAAAGTCGTCATCGTGCGAGGAGAACACGCTAATCCATTTCTTTAAGAGCTGCAGGAGGCGTTGGTGTTGATCTGGGTTTAGACCGTCTCCCTCAATGGCAAAGCAAGGATGGAGATCTGTAAGAGTAGAAGATTCAGAGGAGTTAGTCACAGCTCGAATTGCCACTTCCACAGCTCCAGAGTCGTCAGGCTCGACTACTAACTCCTGTCCCGTTTGTACATCACACTCATCAGTCTGTGTCACCTTAGCCAATGGGCGGCGCAGTGGGACCTCTACTGGATAAGGATTTGGGTTGCACATCCTCATTGGCAGCTTACCTCCACTCACCATCACCAGGGACCGCGCTACATACCATTCCCCATCCTGGTCCTCGAGGGGTTCTATTAATGCATTAAGGACCATCTTGGGGGCTCCTTCCTGAAGTTGAGCCCATACCACCATCTCAGACTCAGGGGGGATAACCACTGGTGGCTGTCGAGGCAGTCGAGCAACCCCTTGAAAGGGAATGGCAGGCCCTTCAACTATCACCCTCTGGCAAACGGAGAAGGCTTGTTCCCAAACATGACCTGCTACAGGCGACACAAGAGACTTAAAAGCTGTCAATCCGGGGTGCTTACCCTTGGTCAATTCACTCCAACAGTGTGCAATTACGTTCATGCCTAGAATGGCGAAGTCTGCTCCCATACACCCATCTTCAACCACCACCATCCCCTTCTGTGGAATCTGGACACCGCCAACAGCGAAATCAACAATTGCATAACCAACATACGGTATCTGCAGTCCATTAACAGCTCGTAAGGTTAGCCATGGAGAGTCATGGGCACAATTCATGTCAATATTCCCAAAATGTCTTATAAAAAAGGCTTTACTCACCAAAGTGACTTGTGAGCCAGTGTCAAGGACACAAGAGATCATTTTTCCATTAGCCTCCACCTCAACATATGGACATTCTCCTACAAGCTGGGACTTGGTCACTCCAGCAGAGTGGGCAACAGTCCCTGCCACACGCCCCTCAGTGGCAGGGGGCACTAAAAACCCGAAGTCGACCTACGGCGAGTTGGACAATACCTCTGGATATGCCCAACTCCTCCACAGTCCCTGCATATGGGCCTCCCCTCGGCATCCCACTGGAAAGAACCCCTGCCTGGTGGTGTCTGTTGAGGTCTTGATCGTGCAGTTGGACCACTGGGCAGTTGGGGTGGGATGACAGTTAGGGGTGGTACGTCGGGCTGACTGGCCATTAGGGGGGTGGGTGATATTTGTTTGCGGATTTCTTCAACAATGGAGGCACTCAAACCCTTCAGCTGCTCTGTCACTTCTTTGCGCAATTCTGCCTGGAGTTCGCTTTTCAATTGACTTAAGTCGGATGCATTACAGTGCAGGGTGTTAACTGGTGAGGTTGCTACGGTGGGTGTCACAGCCCGTCTGACCCAGGTGTGGTCTTCTCCATGTTGCTGCTCCTGCTCAAGAGCCACAGCCTCAGTGCAGACAGCGGCAAACGTCAACTGTGGATTGCGGCGCACTTGCCGATGAATCTCCTGCTGGATTGGGCCTGGTCTTAAGTTCAAGGTGAACTGATCTAACAGGTACTCGCCCTCTTCCTCTTGGGTTGGTTCACGTCCTTGCCAGTCGAAATAAAGTTCCTGCAATTTCAAGATAAAGGATCCCACTCCCTCATCCGGACCTTGCCTACAGCTGAAGAACCTGGACCTCCGCTGGGCTCGACTTCCTCCATCACCATACTTGCTCTGCAGGGCGTCCAGCAGTGCCTTAGCATCAGCCTTCTCCTCTGTCTTGAATAACCGCGCCTGACGCCTCGCCTCCCCATCTAAAGCTGCCAACAAAAAGTCCACACCTTGTTGTGTAGTTAGCCCTTGGGCCCTCAGCATAGCTTCTACCTGAGACCTCCATGAGCTAAATTTTCCCTTCTCCCCACTAAAACGGGGTATCCATGGCCCCCCCATAAACCATGGCACCAACAATTGAGCTACTCCCTGACTACCCCCGCCAGCCACATTTCCTTCTGCCCCTTGGTTAGCTGCACTACCCGGAGGGTCAGACATGACTGTGGTTTTCTGCTGCTGGTATCCTTCCGACTACGCCAGAAAAAGACTGTCACCTAGTGACCAGTATAGAATAATAAGTTACCCAGGTCCCAGCCGCAGAAACCAACAGACAGTCAAAATCAGGTACCAAAAAAATATACTTTATTAAGGGAAATACTGATACGTAAGAAAAATAAAAGAGTTCACTAAAATCGAGTCTGATATCTTTTTGACAGATATCGAAGTTGGGTGGCTTCTCTGCAATTTGCTCCGACTGTCCTCCCTCAAAACCGTGGAGCAGACACGTCCCAAGAGTCACAGCAAGCGTCAGACCCACAGAAAATGGGCACGGTGCTCTAGGCAGCAAACGGCAAGCGTCCAGGAAGATTCCGATGTAGGCAAGCCAGCCTTCACAGCAGTGCTGGGTTCGTCACAAACTACGTGTAGCAGAGGGGCCCTTTAGGCGACGATAGCGAGCGTTGAGGGAGTTCCGAGGATACCCACACGATCTTCAAGGATCACCAGACACTGAAACCACCAGCTGGGTATAAGCAGAGGCTAGAAGAAAGCAACCACAATGACCACCAACACCATAAGTACCAAATGGCCACACACTCTCACTGTGTGGAAGAAAAATATAATTACGGCCCTTCAGGCAGTGATAGCGAGCGTTGAGGGAGGTTCGAGGGTAGCCACACGATCTTCAGGAAAACGGCAGACTCTGGAGCCACAAGCTGCGTATAGCGGAGGCTTACGGCCCTTCAGGCAGTGATAGCGAGCGTTGAGGGAGGTTCGAGGGTAGCCACACGATCTTCAGGAAAACGGCAGACTCTGGAGCCACAAGCTGCGTATAGCGGAGGCTGGAAGAAAGCAATCACAATGACCACCAACACCATAAGTACCAAATGGCCACACACTCTCACTGTGTGGAAGAAAAATATAATTACGGCCCTTCAGGCAGTGATAGCGAGCGTTGAGGGAGGTTCGAGGGTAGCCACACGATCTTCAGGAAAACGGCAGACTCTGGAGCCACAAGCTGCGTATAGCGGAGGCTGGAAGAAAGCAATCACAATGACCACGGCAGCCACGAGTATCAAATGGGCACGCACTCACACTGTGTTGAAGAAAGATAGAATTACGGCCCTTCAGGCAGCAATAGCGAGCGTTGAGGGAGGTTCGAGGGTAGCCACACAATCTTCAGGAAAACGGCAGACTCTGGAGCCACAAGCTGCGTATAGCGGAGGCTGGAAGAAAGCAATCACAATGACCACGACAGCCACGAGTATCAAATGGGCACGCACTCACACTGTGTTGAAGAAAAATAGAATTACGGCCCTTCAGGCAGCAATAGAGAGCGTTGAGGGAATATAGTTGTAGTACATCAACGTTCAGACGAAAGGCCTTGAAACCTAATCGCAGCACAACTGCAGCCAGACAAAAAATCTCCCTTCTCTCTTCCAAAGAACCAGCTTTTATATCCTTCAACCAGGGCATGAGTGGTTGTTAGACCATTAGTTTGCTAATTGAAATCATCATCAATTGCAAGGCATAGGCAATCATCAATTCTTGTCTATTCAATCAGTGACAGGAAGTATAGTCCAAATATGGGCAGAGAGGAGCAATGTAGTAATGAGTACCAAATAAACTAATTAAGTCACATTATTGGGAGAGGAAGTAGTCCAAATATGGGCATTGTAAAAAAAACAGGAAGTGGGTTGCCAGGTTTGTACAGAACACATATCTAAAAAGAGTCAAATAGGGCAGAAGTAATAGAAACAACAAAACCCACTACAAATTCTGATGCATACGTACAGTGAATACACTACAAATCAAAGTGCGAATACGTTTCCACACACAGTAAAACCATCACACAGTAAGGCCCTAATGTCTCTAATTAGGCAGAGAGAAAAAAAGAAAAAAAAAAGAAAGAACTGAGCCAGCCTGTGACACATGTCCACTGAGAGACAATCTAAAAAAAAAAATCCAGAAATCAAAATGTATGATTTTTTAACTATTTATTTGTATGATACAGCTGCAAATAAGTATTTGAACACCTGTCTATCAGCTAGAATTCTGACCCTCAAAGACCTATTAGTCTGTCTTTAAAATGTCCACCTCCACTCCAAGCAGTTTGGTGAAAAAAGGTCCGCTCTTGGAGCAATCATTAGAAAATGGAATAAGCTAAACATGACTGTCAATCTCCCTCGGACTGGGGCTCCATGCAAGATCTCACCTTATGGGTCCTTCAATGATCCTAAGAAAGGTGAGAAATCAGCCCAGAACTATACGGGAGGAGCTGGTCAATGACCTGAAAAGAACTGGGACCACCATTTCCAAGGTTACTGTTGGTAATACACGTCATGGTTTGAAATCATGCATGGCACGGAAAGTTCCCCTGCTTAAACCAGAACATGTCAAGGCCTGTCTTAAGTTTGCCACTAGCCGCGTTTCCACTGCCGGGCCAGGGCCGGGCCGTGCTAGTGCGTGCCAGGGCCAGTCGCGTTTCCACTGTCACTTCCGGGGCTTGATCGGGGCTTCCTCAGGGCCAACGGCCAGGATTTCTGGCCCGTCGAATACCTTGGGCCAGAGGGGGCCAGCTCGGGCTAGAGGCGTGCTCAAGGTAAAAGGCGGAGTTTATCGGTGTTATGGAACGTTATGATCTGAAGCAAGATGCACATATGGTGTCCATGTTTAACCGATTAACCGTTTAAAATTGCATAACATTTTAATTTGAACTGTAGGCCTATGCCAAATGCTGCGCAAAAATATATAGGCTACATGTCGACGAATTTTCAGATATTTGTTTGATTTTTTGCCCCTTAAACATTTAAAATATTTGACAAATTAATATGAAAAAATATATATAGTTTACTGGTTTTCTGAGGCCAAATTAGAACCTGGAAATGATATTTTCCCTGCAGTGCTGAATGAGAAGAGCCGTAACCACAGCCTATACAGAAAGGGGATTATAGGTGATTTATAGGCTTTAATAAATGTGTCTGATAATAAAATAATATAAAATAACGAGGCATTAATTGTTTATTAATAAACTATTGTTTTCTAAATGATTTTCGTCTAAAAACATATCTCCATCTCCGGATGCACATTTAGAGAGAAATTAATTAGCTACATAATTACATAGTCAGAAAGATATTGGCTTTCGATTCGAATTTGTTCGTTTTAAATTGGACATTTAAAGCTTTAATCTACAAGACTAAAGCTTTAAATGTCCAATTTAAAACGAACAAATTCGAATGCGGTGGCTGTTTCAGGTCTCGCGCTTCAGTTCACGGAGATCACGAAGCGCGCCTTGATTAATTGTTAAAGCACAACGTTTTCTTGTTATTGTGAGTTTACGCAAATAAATGTATTTGCGAATAATGTATTATTATTTTCTGTATGACCAGAAATGAAAGAGTATTTTAAGTTGTTTCCACTAAAAGAAATGCAATGAAACTGCAAGTGTTCACATGGGCGTCTCGCAGCCATCAGTGCGTGCTCCACACACACTGGATATGCGCTGATATGCGTCAAAAATATTGTGTTTATTTGTGCTCTGTTCCTTTTTTAGATAAAGGCGTCTTCTACATATGCAGCCTAATAAAATGTTACAATAATGATGATGATGGTTATTATTATTATTTGCAGACACGGAGTTTTTGTGAAATGGACGTTTTGCTTATTTTCAATTGGCAATTTCAGTTTGAAGGGTGATGGAAATGCGGCTTAACTGCTCCGTACTTGCTGCGTTTTATTTCTATAAATTAATTTCGTTTCAAATGGGGTCCAATCAGTTATTAAAGGTGTTAAAAAATTTAACTCTGTATCTCGAGGTTGCGGCGTTTGTTATTTGTTAACAGGCTGCGGCGGTTCCGCAGCCTGTTATATCGCGCAAAAAATCGCTGCTTGAAATGGAGAATCGCCTGTACTGGTCTCGTGACACTATTGCAGCCACTACGGCAGGTGAGTTAATAATATACATGCTATCTTCCTAATTTAAAAAAATAAATGAATTCATAATACCCGCTGAAATGGGTTGGGTTTTATGACGTTTGATCCAGAAAGGCGTGTTAGGGGTGGGGTCTGGGGCAGCGCTGTGGGGCTACTGGCCCGGCAGTGGAAACGCAAGCCCGGTGCTTGAGGCCCGAGGCCACTAGCTCGGCCCGGCTCGCTGTTAGCTCTGGCCCAGCCCTAGCCCGGCAGTGGAAACGCGGCTAATGACCATTTGGATGATCCAGAGGAGTCATGGAAGTCATGTGGTCAGATGAAACCAAAATAGAACTTTTTGGTTATAATTCCACTAACCATGTTTGGAGGAAGAAGAATGTTGAGTACCATACCAAGAACACCATCCCTGTGGAGCATGGGGGTGGTAGCATCATGCTTTGGGAGTGTTTTTCTGCACATGGGACAGGGCCACTGCACTGTATTAAGGAGAGGATGACCGGGGCCATGTTTTGCGAGATTTTGGGGAACAACCTCCTTCCCTCATTTAGAGCATTGAAGATGGGTCGAGGCTGGGTCTTCCAACATGACCGAAGCACACTGCAGGGATTACCAAGGAGTCATGTCAAGTCACATTTATTTATATAGCGCTTTTCACAATACAGATTGTATCAAAGCAGCTTCACAGTGATAACATAAAAAAGTAGTACAACACAGATCAATAATATTGTTAATTATAAAACAGTTAGTTCCAATCCTTGATTCTGATTGGTCAATAGCTGTGCTTTATTCACGATAAAACACGGCTATGACCGCTTCGCCCAAAGGTTCTATTTATCACTGCGCCTTTAGCAACACCATTAGCAACCACACATATCAACATAGGCTAAACAGAAAAAAAACTTAAGAATTAATAAGGCTAAAATGTTTAAACTAAATTTCGATTTACTAGGTGGCATGACGATGTGGTTTGAAGTGGTTTGAGGAACAATTTGGAGAGACTTCTACAATACGAAATGTTGAAGTGCTGAAATGTAACATTGACACATTCGAGAGTCTGACATACGATGGGTTCATCGCTCTCACCTCAATGGCTGGGTGAAGTCCCAGCCGCATATTTGAGGTGATGGCCAACACTCGCACATTACAAGTTGGACCTATTGAGCTTTGTGGTGTAGGCCCAAGGTGCTTTCTTCGGGTCATCAGGTGGGTACCCTCCTTCAACAGTGTTTCGTCAATTAACCCACAACACCTCCAGAGGGCTTGACAGCTAACCCCAGCGTCCTGGGGCAGCCCCCTTGGCCCCTCGGGCTCCACTACCAGTGCTCTTTTATGTTCCCTCCCTACCCTGTGGGTTGTTCCATCGAACAGAGCGCTTTAGCCACAGCCATCTTGACGCTGTCTCTGCTCTTTTGTGAGCTGTGAGGACTCGTAATGAAAAAAAATACCATGCAGCAAATCCAATGGGCAGTGAAATGCTTCGGTGACTGGTGTAGTGAAAAGGGTTGCAGCATAGATTTTAAACAAATCACCAAGACGGAACTCAACGCACTTTAATATCCGTGACTTCTACGGAACTGTCAGAAGCTTCACAGGAGAAAAATATGGGATCAGTAGCTATGTAGTGTTAACGTTACGTGCGGGTCTGAACAGATTCCTGAATGATCCACCTTTGAGTTTGTCCTGGTTTCTGATAAGAGACAGCGAATTCACCTCATCCAATAATGTTTTCGTTGGAGTCGTAAAGACAATGGGAAGAGAGGGTCGTGATAAAACGGAGCATCACCAGAGAATGTCTAATTGAAGAGAATGGGCTATATGCACGCATAAATTCCGCATTTGACGCAAGTCCATGCTCGTCCATTTCCGGTTGTGGAGATTAAAGCGGAGGAAAACCGAGGAAAACGGGATTATGGCAGAGTCTTCAAAATTTACTGTCCTCCAGTCTTTGAAATGAAACGTACATACGTTTAGATGTAATTTTATATATAGTTATATTTATTTAATATAATTTTAAAAAGAAGCATAAACACAACAAGGGGTGTCTGTTTTATCTGTTTTTGTGACTAACGCTGCCTTCACACTGGCAGTTGAAATCAGCTCCGTAATACGCAATACGTTCCCAACGGACGTCGTACTACACAGTGAAAAGCGTCGGACGCGGGTAGAACAAAAATGGCGGAGAGATTAAAGTTTGATTCTGTCAGTTCTGTATGATCTCTCTGATGAGGGTTATGCTGCGTGAGGAAAGTTGCTCAGGACGTTGACATGTCAGGTCGGCTAAAAAATGTGATATAGTGGTCAATAGTTCAATGTCTACCTTCAATTTAATTGTATTAACTGCCCTTATAAACGTTAGAAAGTCATGAAAATAAAAAATGACATCACAAATTATCGTTATAAAATCAATATTTATTTTATTAAAAGTTAATAATTCAGGTTTGTTTATCAGTACCATAGCAACGCTCAACTTCTGCTGGAATTGTCGGATAGGAACCGTCCGTAGCTTTTCGCAAGAGTTCAAATTTTTGAACGCATCCGGATGACCAACGGACACGATTTTCTTCGCACCGCACTCGGTCGGACCCGTTTCGGACCCATTCGCATGCGGTCTGCGAATCTCCATAGGAAATGAATGACTTCCGGTCGTTTTGCAGCCGCATCGGAGCTGATTTCAACTGCCAGTGTGAAGGCGGCGTAACGTTTCTTTAGTATAACCATGGAGTATAAAATTCAATATAAATTCTCGGTATTGCATTGGACTCTACGATCGGCGGAAGTTATCGAGCATCCCTAATGCTTCACCGGAAATTGAGCCCATTGGCACTGGCTGGTTACTTCCGGGTTCTGGACTGGCTGCAGTAACACGTCTCTGCCAATGCGGGGGCGCTCGCGGTCGAGTGCAGAATGAATGGGAGTCAATGGGGTTTCACCCCCAAAAATCCACTTTT